ACACTCATACAAAGGTCGCATTTCACTAAACTATAAATCCCTACAATGGAACCTTCATTATGTTTTTCTCTACCTGTGAAGTCGAGGTTTTCCAGTCAATGACGTAGTCGTTACTTGTGATGTGAAATCTGGATTGACCGGTTGTATTTGCTCTCTATTGCTGCAAGTACAATACCAGGCTGTAAATATTGCAGATCCAGCTTTAGAAAGAAACTACAGACCAGTAATCGGCTACATTTGAATTTGTAGACCTGAGCTTTGTTTCCGTTACACGATTGTAAAATTAGGGACACAATGTCACACACGTATGAGTGACAGAGACGACGCTTTACAAGGCCGCTCCATGTGTCCGGTATTCCACTGTAGCCTTTCTGCAATACGTCTTTGGGTGGACAATCAGTCGTCAGTTCTCCAGTACTCTTCATGATCAAAAATCCTTATGACGTAAAAGGAAAAAAACAAAAAAAACTACTCCAATTGACGGCAACTTGTTCAATGCTATCCTTTTCTTAAAATCTGCTACTTTCCTCGGAAGCACTAACTTATTACCTACATCAAATGCAAAATCTACGCATTAGAAATCATATCCTGTATTTTGCAATATGATTTACCCGGAAGAGGAAAACTTAATAAGTATTAACATTACGATACCAAGTTAATGCTAGCTTTATCGACACATATAGCCTTTTCTTAAATAATATTGATATCTCCAGCTTGCAAGGTACGAAATTATGTATAATATAAAAAACAGAAACCTTTGCCATGTTGCGAACTTTAAAGAGCAATTTTCTTCAACATCATTGACACTACATTAGCCATTGCCATTTGAAAACGCAAAAGAAACTTTATTTATATAAAGCAGGTAATAATATTTTGTCAAACATGCTCGGTAATGTTTGCATTACTTTCAAACAACGAACACGGAAAGTTTGTTATTTATGGACCAGGAAATGGATGAAAATTAATTACTGTCATCTTCTCTAAACTTTTAAATAACTATTATTAGGTCATTGCTACTAATGTACTATGTAAACAGGCAAGAGAAAAACTTATACAGCCAATTATCCAGTCATATTTGCAAGAATTAAAAATATCTACCTGTACATACTTTAAAAAAAAGAAAATGGCGGTACATTTCAACTAAAATGTTGTGATATTCTTTTGTTTTTTCGTCTTTTGGTCCCGAAAATGAGTGCTAGTGAGAAGAGCGATAACGAAAATAGATTAATATGCTTGAATGTGTACACATTGAAGCATATCATCAGAAGTTTAGGAGATTACTATTATTAACGTGCCTGGAAAAACAATAACACTTTCAAAATTTTTATTGAATTGATATTCCATTATTTTTTGTGAAATTTCTCCACCAGTTAATACAAAACAATAGTATCAAAAGACAAACTAAAACTGCACAGGTGATATAAAAGTGGACGGTAATAAAATAAATATAGTTTTACTGTGTCCGTAACAACTGTTAGGTATAAAAACATAATCTAATGAATGTTATTACTAACATTTTAAAATATTATAATCAGTAGATAGAGACGTCGGTTCGAATCCGGCCGGATCGAAGGAATTTTTTCTGAGTGTTCGATATTTGTATTAATAATTATAATAACATTTTCTTTCAGCTATTGTCTTAAGACATCACTACTTACTTACGTAACTACGTACTTTTAATATTAATTAATCTTTTTTTACTTTTTCTATTACATCTTCCTCTCTTCAGTCCTTTATTATTTCCTCACATTGTTTGAGAAAAATTCTATACATGCCTCGGCGGGAATGGGGATTGCTTGACTCGTATTAATACACGGCCTCGTACTCATACTCATCCAGCAGTTCCCTACTTCCCGGCCAGCAATAATGTGCTATATCTATATAATAGTAATTTTAAATAGATGGTCTTATTGTCTTGCCTCAAGTGCATAATTTAAAACAACATAGAAAGTGAGACAATAACAAACAGTAGTTATAATTAACCAAACTACTAAATAATTCTCGTATTTAAATCGAATGTTTGCTCGACATTTTCCGAACCAGGTCGTGATCCTTACTTGTGATTGTCAATAGTATATCCGAGTCTTGTGGTAGTTGTCTAATTAACGAAGTACAATTAATAGTGAAGACAAAACAAAGGAATAAAAAATACACAATAAAGTTTGTGTGCAGCAATGGAATTGGTTATTATAGTATAATTCAGTGCCTTTTTCAGGAGCACAATGGCGAAAACTTATAATATCTTTATTTAGTTATAGTGTATAATATAGGTTCCCAGATTTTTTGGCTCACCGCCCACTTAGGCAAAATAAAAAAATATCAATGCCCACCATCACAAAAAAATAATTGAAAACACGTGTTTTTTATATTAACTTAACACAAAAAAAATGACAAGAAAAAAATGTAGTTTACATATAGCACCAACGCCCCCAATTCCGAGGCCCCTACCGCCCCGTAGGACTCTTTGAGAAACTATGGTGTAAAATTATGTTAAATGCTTCATATAAAGACGGCGTAGTCAGTATTTTTACAGCTGCATCTAAATTGAACGAATGGTTCCGTTTTTTATTTTATAATTAGTTTTAAAAAGTTGTTTTCAGTATGTCGAGTTTTGAATCCCTGGTTTAATCTACTGATTATAATATTTTAAAATGTTAGTAATAACATTCATCAGATTATGTTTTTATACCTAACATTTGTGACGGACACAGTGAAACTACACTTATTTTATTACCGTTCACTTTTATATCACCTGTGTAGTTTTAGTTTGTCTTTTGATACTACTGTTTTGTATTTTAAAACAAATCTTGATGTTCTTCACACATCAGAGAGAAGTCAGAGATTGCGAGTGCTGTTCCTACTGGCATGACAAGAAATATGTTCGGTTGATTAAAGCCTTTTTTTTATAATATCAAAGTAACGGGACGAACAAGTCGTACGCGATGGTAAGCTACACGCCTGTCCATAACAGTTGCAGTGCCACTCAGAGTTTTAAATTGCAAAGATCTAAAGGGCTCCACTGCGCCCGTCTTCCCGAAGACATAAGTTGACAAATCCCATGTGCCTGTAATTTCACCAGCACTCTTACCCTTCAAAACCGGAACACAGTAATGCTGACATTACTGCTTGGCGGCAGAAATCGATATGGTGTCAGTACTAACCTGGACGAACTATTTCACAAGCAGCTCTACCGCTACTAAACTGTCACTAGTTGGCATAAAAAGACAAGACAGTATTTGAAATCTGTTCAGTATAGACACTATTATAAATGCCTTGGCGTGCATAAATATGCTTGTACATATATGATGCCATTGACTACTTTTTATTCCATGCTACTGACATACTAATAAATAATCAAATAAAGATTGAGTTAGCGTTGTGATTATTCATGATAATTTCATAATTACGTTACTATACAAGTTTGTTATTTTTTTTACTACGACTCTTTAGTAGCTTTTATAAATATAAACAAAATACATTATAAAAAATTTACTTTAAAAAAAACACGTAATATTTCATGTTAAAGTCAATCCACATCAAGTTGAATAGAATAGATTGCTGCGTCACATTTAGATGGTACAAAAGACACCAACGCAATCGAACACCTACGATTTTCTGCCCATTTTAACACCCTCATATAAAATTACATTCTTGTGACAGAGTGTATAATCTACTACAAAGCTTACATTGTCTTCATTGACCTACCAAATAGGTCAATTACTGTCTGAGACAGGTTCTTAGCCTATACAAATAGTTATCAGCGCCACGTTAGGCTATCATTGACAATTTCCCTGCGGCCGTGTTATTTGCGTCGGGGCACTGAACGGCCTTGCCCGTTGAAACGGCAGTATACGGTTGTGCACATTTCATTTCTCATATGATTGTTAAATGTTAAATATGTAGATACTTAATAAACAAGCTTCTATCTTCAAAATATCCCTAATATACAAACAGAAAATGAACAACATATCGTGTGTGTGTGTGTGTGTGTGCGAAGTAGCGAACTTTTACTTTTTAGTATCTACTACTGTTTTATAATACGTTAATATCGGAAAATATTTAAACTTATTGTCCTTTATGCAAACAACTTGTAATTTCAAAAAATCAACCGTCACAGTACGTTTTTCAATTCTTGAAATACTAGACGGCTTAGCCCATCAGGTCCCGGTCGGGTCCAGGTATGCAGATTAAATTTCTCCTACTTACAATACGATTTGCACTTACTCGTTTCTAATGACTAGCAGATAACATCTTAACGAGGTGTGTTTAATGACTCTTATCATTTATTGGCAAATACCTGTCGGCTAATTATTTACTTTAACCGAGGACTTATTTTATTAACTTCAAAATAAGTACTATAAAGTTGAGATTACTAAAAATTTAAATAAAAATGTTTTTGGTCTTTTAAATAAGATAATAATAGTTGGTACTATTTAATAATAAAACATTTATTAAGTGCAATATACATAAATCGAATAAATAAGCCTATACATCGTTTTATTTAGAATTTGAGATGCTGTAAACAAAGCACCTGCGATCTCAATAATTTTTTCTTCAGACAACAAATTACAGTAAAGAAAAACATCGTGACAATTGATGACAAATTATAAAACGAGTATGATATTACTTAATAAAAAATAAATAAAAAGTTTGGAACCTGTTTCTTTAGTTTTTTATAGTACAAATCTTGGGAATAGATTGAAGTATGTAAATATAGAAGATTTTTATTTAAGCTTTGGTGAATACTACCAGTAAAAAACGCAATAATTACAAAAAGATGGTAAATACGTTTAAGAGTTTTGTTTGACGATATTTATTAAATTGCTTTGGTTACAAAGTGAATGAATGAAATTACACCTAATAAAATGCACAATATTTTCTTCTATCTAATGCTAAAAAAAAACAAAATATAACATTTGGAAACAAAATCGTAAATAGTACAATGTTTCAAATTATCTTTGTTTTTAAATGAATAATTAATTTAATTTTAACGAGCTCACCTTCATCATCTTGAAACCAAACCACCAACGCTCGATCATCAAAGTTCGTAAACACTGGCCACTCAGTTCACACGACACTTCACATTATTTACCACAATCTCCGATAAACAAAATATTCTTAATTCGAATTTAATTAAAACATAAAAATGGAAAGCAATTTTTGGCGCCAGTTCTTCGTTTTAAAGTTCTGATTAAAAAAATTTAAATTTGATTCGCGCGCGTTATTCTTTTTAAATTTGAAAATGTTGTATAGCACTGGACAGCGGTGAAGTCGGTTTGAGAGATGAAATAGGTCACCGTACGAGTTTTATCAACCCCCACTATTTGCTCGCCGTGGCCGGTGGTCAACGATGGTGACGGTCTTATGGCATATAGTGATGGCATACAGAGCAAGTGGGATATGGCAAGTTAATACTTAATTGTAAATTGATTACAAAAAAAATAACAGAAGAGACAGCTCTACATCCGAAGTTATTTTACAAAATTTTAAATAAAATACTAGTTGTAAAGGGATAAATAAATAAAATAACTTCAATATTACCGTTTCGAGCTTTAAACAATTATCTAAATTAATTAGCGAAAGTAACTCTTTCAGTCACGATTTCACGCCTAAACCACTGAACCAAATTTGATGAATTTTGGTATAGAGATAGATGGGACCTAGGAAAAGGATACAGGCAAAAGATATAGTTCTTGTCACAACAACTAAATCTTAAAGTGGGTGAAATAGGGGATGAAGTTTTGTATGGAGCACCAACCTTTCTCAAGTAAGGGATCTGAAAATTAATATACTATAGTAGTATACAGTAAGCTACTCAAAGTACTTATTCTACGCAGCCAACGTCGCGGACACCGGTTAGTTATTCATAATTGTAAGCAGCGGTGGTAGCCCAGCGAGTCTCTATGCTTTTATGCTTTTCAATTGCATTGCAGTACTGCGTTCCGGTTTTGAAGGGTAAGGGTGCTGCTGAAATTATAAACATATGAGATTTATCAACTTAAGTCTCAGGGTCATGAGCGCATTGGCAGTGCCCCTCAGATCTTTGTGTTTGAACACTGCGAAAGAAGCTAAGCTAACTAAACTAGCCCAACGATCCTGCTAGCTATGTAAAATATGTCGCCCTTATGCCTCCCTTTCACCCCTTCACGTATCCATAGTCACTACTTACTACGTATTTTCTTAGTTTAGTTTTGCAAGCAACTATGTGAGCTAAGCTAAGCTAGCTTAGCTGGCGTGGTTTGTTGTGGTGTGGTCTGCGCTTTATAGACAGGCGTGTCGCTTACCATCAGTCGCACGACTTGTTCGTCCCGTCACTTTGCATCATGAAAAATAAATTGAGAGATCGACGGCGGTTTGAATCCATGTCACGGCATGCACACTGTGATTTTAATTTGTAAGTCATACATTTGTGAATGTCTAGCAGGAGAGCTAACAGTGAAGAAAAACATACTGACGAAACCTGCATATCGAAGAAGGTTCTCAACCCACTAAACACGTGGATTCCTCAACACGTATTGGGCAAAGAGTAGACCCGTGCCCCGCAGTGGCGTTGTCTGGTATTCGTTGTTGAGCAAAAACTAGTAAGATAATCCAATTAAGAATAGACAAGATGATTCAAGTTCATTGGCCAGATACATTAGCAAATTGCACAATGCACGCATCAGTGAGAGTTGCTTTTTCACCGCTGTCCACTCCTGCGCACGCGATCGTAGAAAACTAATCGCCATTTCGGTTTTGATATCTATTGATATTGGGATCTGAAATGTCTGTCTGTTTGTTGATTTATTTTTAAGCTTGGCTCTAATGAGTTGATGATTGCCATCTTAACAACTAGTTTAATATTCAAACCTATTTCAACCGACTTCAAAAACAGGAGGAGGTTCTCATTTCGAATGTATTCTTTGTTGTGTGCATGATACCGACCCCATGACACTTAGACATTTTTGTGAATCAATATCGACGATTCTTTTTTTGGAAAGGGAGTACTTTGGTAGTGGGTTTTAAATCGAACCACCATTTAAATTTGAAGAAAATATTCCACCTCTGAGAGTGACAAATATTATAATGTTTTTTATGACATCAAGCGACAGGACAAACAAGTCGTGCTCCTGGTGGTAAGTGGTACGCCTGTCCATAGCAGTTCCAATGCCACTCATAGAGCGTTACATCGCATAGAGCGTTACATCGCAAAGGGCATTATCACTGCGCCTGTCACCCTGAGACATAAGCTGACAAGTCCCATGTGCCAGTAATTGCACCAGCACCCTTACTCTTCAAGACCAATTAGGGGATGAATCCGGTTTACTGATTACTATAACCGATATGAACTTGGCAAATAGATGTAATTGCACTGATGGGGTTAACTTTTTAGTTTTTTTTATAAACCCCTCCGGTTCCACTGCTGGGCAAAGACCTCCCCCTCTTTTCCCATTGCTCTCTATATAAAAAGTTATAATTACTTAAAAGTGTAAACGTTGGGCGTGCGGGGCAGCTTGCTCTTCAGCTCCCTGAAGTGGTGCGCCCAGTTTGGTAGGTGCTCCACGATCAGGGGCGGATAGCGAGGCCTCTTGACGGCCGGCGGGGCTGTCGGTGCCGCAGACTCGTTCGAAGATGTTGTTGTTGTCTCGGGCGTCGGGGCAGTGTCCATCGGCGAGCCGAGACCTGGCATCGATGGTGCCGTGCTGGCCGATGGTGGCGTGGAGCTGCGGGCAGCAACTGCTGCGAATGATGGCGGTGGCGAGCGTGCCTCCGTCGCCCTCGTTCGCGCCAGAGACGCTTGTGAGCGCGGTTGGGGCAGTTCTACTGTGTTGACGGCAGCGGTGCGCGTGGCTGCACGGGTGGACGCTGTGGGCCGTGGGCGTGCAAACATCCTTGCCGCGGTGGCATGCGGTGGAGCAGGAGTAATGCGAGCGCACGCGGTGGTGGTGCGGATACAAATTGTTGTACTTGCCTTGTATTGATATATGTCTGTGGTAGTCTCAGATTTCTCTTCACATTAACAAATTGTGTTCAAGTAGTCACCATTCGAGGAAAAATCTTAAGACCGCGATTCAGAAATAACGCCAAATGTCAATGCTATCTTGTGGATTCCTAGTGAACTAAAAGTGAACATTCTGGCTTAAGGCCGTCTAATACTTAAAGTAGGTTTGTTACAAAACCTTTTTTTTCTATTTGTGATTTACCCATGAAAACTTTTGACACTAACTGCAGTTACAAGTTCGGAACAATATACTTTAACTGTACACGAGAGAAGTCGCGATGTTGAACATATAAGCTGTTGTGGTTATGCAGTAATTGAAAAAATCTGTAGCCAACTTTGTGCTTTTCCGAAATGGTTTAGACTTCGCTATTGAAGTAGTGTCAATGACATGGCAATCAATGAAATTAACATTTAGCTGTAGTTGGTTATCGTAATCAAATAGTTTACGTTTTTGTGCGTACAGACATTACAATAAGACAGTAAATCATGCAATAAAACTGTTTTGAAAAACTTATTTCTTTAAGTCATAGTGACTCCCGAAGTTGGTACAAAGTTTAAGAATCTGTTAACGTACACATTTAACTATTAGACTAGTAATATCGTTTAATTATTTGAAAACCATTCCTTAAAAAAAACAGTTGGATTTCAAGTTCACTCCTTGTGGATTCGAGTGACTACAAAAAAACACAAATTTTAGCTTTGTACATAAATTCTTTCTGTAAAATCATAAAAATCAAGCCCCCACACCGCGTCAGTTGTCATTTATCAATGTTTACTGTAGGTCTAGCACGACTGGGCGCGACTTGAGAGCGAGAGCGACATAGGACGCTGGGTCTCGATCGCGACTAATAGATACTACTATTCTCTTTTCTTATAATATCAAGTGACGGGACGAACAAGTCGTGCGCCTGTGCGAACAAGCCCGTCCATAACAGTTGCAGTGCCACTCAGAGCTTTAAATCGCAAAGATTTTTTTTTTACATGACAGGCAGATGACTCCATTCAACTTGATGTAAAATGGAAAATGGAATCCAAACGTGAAGGAAGCCAGTACAGTGTTAATATAATCACCACCCTGTTCACCTCCACCTTGCATGCCTACAAGATGCCTATTCACGCCTCGTTTGAAGGACCCCATATCGTGAGACGGAGGAAATACGTGCCTTAGAAGGGAGTTCCATTTCTCAACTGTACAACAGAGAAAGGTGCCACCAAACCTTTTAGTTCTCGATGAAATACGGCTAGTTGTAAAACGGTGACTACGAAGGCCAGCTCGCATGTTTCAGAGAAGGAAAGGGGAGGGCGGGATAAAGTTGAACAGTTCTTCAAAGCACTCGCCATGGTACATCCGATAAAAGGCGCTAAGTGATGCAACGTCTCTACGCAGTTGTAGAGATTCGTGGTGAGAGATAAGTCTCACCACATCTCTCACCACGAATCTCTACAACTGCGTAGAGAGCGCCAATGACTCGTGAGGCGCGATTCTGCAAACTGTCCAAGGCATCGACAAGGTACTTGGCGGAGTCATCCCAGAGGTGCGAACAATACTCAACGCAAGACCTAACTTGTGTTTTGTACGACAGGCATAATTGGTCAGGCCTGAAGAAACGACGCAACTTGTTCAGGACACCGAGTTTTCGTGAAGTTGTTTTGATCACCGTTTCGATGGAACTTCTTGGGTTCAGATCGCAGCAGATCTTCATACCAAGCAAGATGATACTGCTTTGAAGCATCGGATTGTGCCCATCAGAGAAAGTGCGGGAAGGAACGGTGTCAATTTTGCCGTAAACGTGCTGACTTGTGTTTTCTTGGCATAGAACTCAACGATATTTTTGGATCTCCAATCATGTATGAGGTTCAAAACCCCATTGAGCCCAATGACAAGACCTGAACGCTCCCTTTCGGTTTCAGCGTGTCCAGTCGAGAGGCAGCCGTGATATCCCCCGTGAACTGTGCTATCAACTGCATAGCAATGAATGAGAGGTACTGCCACTACGTCCGTCACCCGGACACTTAAGTTGACAAGTTCCATGTGCCTGTAATTTCACCAGCACCCTTACCCTTCAAAACCGGAACGCAGTAATGGTGACATTACTGCTTGGCAGCAGAAATAGGTGGCAGTACTAGCCTGGACGAACTCTTTCACAATGAGCTCTACTGCTACTAAACTGTTTATTGTAGAGCGAGCACGACAAGGCGCGACTTGCAGGAGAGCGACATAAAGCATTAGATCTCGATCGTAGAGATCTCGACATAAAGCGACATAATAGCGCTGGATCTAGAGATCTTGCG